TATATATACACATATATGTATGTGTACATCTGTACATCTGTACTGAATCCATGCGTGCATGGATGGAGAGACGTATGCAGACTTATGGTGCAACAGACAACGAAGCCCTCCTCTAACTGGTCACTGGAGATGCAGCACAGCTGCATGGTGAATGACATCTAACAACAAAGGGGCCTTCCTGAATAGAATAAGAGTGTAGCATAGTCCAGTATAGTATGATATCTACCCGAAAATCCTTTTCAAACATTCAAGCGCCTATCCGACTTTAGACTTGGATTGGAGGCTTGTAGGTTTAGAAAAAAATCCATCCAGTATTCAGGATCCTTCCATTTAGGTCCCAGACTCTCTGAAAAACCNNTAAAACCTAAACCCTGAACCGCGGCTCAAACGTTTCGTCTGCCTGGCGCATCATGTGGTCAAAGTCCTGAGGTTTGGGCACGACGCGCCCGTCCCCACGGAAACTGAGCGACTGCGCGTAGTCCACCTCAAGCACAGGGCTCGTTTACGTGAGGCTCTGAGTCTAAAAAACGCTTAGCATGGGTTCTCGGGTTTAGGGTTTACGGGCGACGAGTCTGCAGATAATAACTACCGCGGTTCCGGGTTTAGGGTTTTAAGCCTCAACTCAAAATCCTAAACCCGAACCCGAAATCCCAAGCCCGAAAGCTTGGAGGTGCAGGGTTGGGGCTTAAGGTGGCTCGTATTTCGAAGCACCTCACCTCAAAGGCGTCGTCCTCCCTCCGGCTGGGATCCGCCGCCGGCCCTTTTGGTGGAGATCCTGGTGGCAAAGGCGGCCACACCTCCGTGGGCCCATCCATGGGAGGTAGAGGAGGCCATAGCCCCTCCTGGCTGCATGCGGAGATGAGAGGGGCTTGTTTGCTTTATGGGGTAGCATAGAGGCTTAAGATTTGTAGGGCTTAGGCTTTCCTTTACAGGATGCAGAGGGGTTTGACAGGGTTGCATGCGCTTTGAAAGTGGCTGTTCGTGCTTGCTTTAATGTGGTTGTCTATAGGGCTATACACGGCGTCAGGCCTTCTTTCTGTACAACTCCTGGTCTAGGGCGGCTCTGGAGCTTTCTTGTCCCAGCTTAGGGTTCAAGGTTTAGAGCTGAGTGTTTGGGTTTAGAGTGTAGGGTTTGGTTTAGGGTTTAG